AATCTCTGACACACTAACCTCTAACTGTCAATGGATACTTTAAAGCTCAATGGGTAACCTTCAATCAAGACGATTATATGGTGAAAAATGGATCATAGCATTATTTTTTCCAGGTGTATAGTCAATCAGAGAGCCAAATTTCTGCTAAGATCTTTTATATTACTCAACAAACCAGATATTTCTTGAGAAAGATGCTGATCAAGTAAAGCCTAAGCTTGTAAACTATCCTTAGGTAGAGAAATGCTTCAGAGTATTACCCTGCAGATTTTTTGAAGGGAGTGTGCAGGAAGAGGTACATGTGCATCAAGGGTAGGTGGTGAACGGTAGGCCTGTGAGAAGTGGCTAGTATTTAATTCAGATTCGGATGCAGCCGATTCGGGGGACAGTGATTCAATCTGGTGATTTGAATCACTATCCTGAATCGAATTGGCTAAATCTCCAAATTGGCCCCATCCCCCATCCGCTCTCAGTGGCTGTCCCAGCCGCTCTTCCAGCTCCCGGCTTTTTGAAAAAAAAGCCCCTACTCACCAGTTGCTCCCAGGCGGGGGGGAGGAGGGCGATCCCCGCTGCCCCCCACCAGCCCATGCTGCCCCAAGGCCACTGCAGCAGTGAGTGAGTTCGAGTTTTTGTTTGTTTGTTTTTTTAAAGAGCCTACTCCTACAGCCCCCCCTCCCCTGCCCCCTATTTACCAGCATGGAGTCTGGGTCCAGCTCCCTGCTGCAGCCAGTGGGAACTGCCTAAATCTCCGAATCTCCCTGAATCTTTTCTGAATCAATTCAGAGAGCTTCGAATCGATTCAGACCCTTTAATTGGTCTCCTGATTCGATTCGGATCGGAGATTCGGCCACCGAATGGGGCCAAATTTCCTCCGAATCGAATCAGCACCCAAAGCTTCATACAGCCCTAGTGTACAGCCCTTTATTGATTCTTGTAACCTTTAGCAACATGTTGCCATACCTAGAAAGCTTAGCAATGAATGCTTTCAAGAGGGAGGAAAAATGGTCTCCTCATGTGCTCATGTATGTTTTCCTGTCCCCTATGCTCAGGAGCATTTCCTTCAGGTAGAGACATATGAGACACCTATATATAGTATTGCTCATATGTCTTCAGTACTGCTACTGAATTTTGAAAAGTGCTGGAATGATCAGCCTGATATTTAAAATCCTGTTTATCTTTGGATAGATTCAGTACAGGCACCAGAGGTATAAGCTGCCTTGGTACTACCCTGCTATCATATCTTATCCCTGATCAAAACTATCTCTGCATTTGAAAGGTTTGCATATTCTTTGCTGCAATTCAGTTCTTGGCCTCTCAGACAAGTGTGACAAACAGTTTTTTGTTTTGGCATCATGGATATTCATCTTTCAGAAAATTAATATTACTAGTTAATTTTACATAGGCCATGAAAATGATATCAGATAGTAAACATTTCCAGTCACTACTGAAGTGGTTTGCTTTCAGATGAAGGCCTAAAAATAGATGGTTATGTGTCAGCCTCCATTACCCATGTCCTAGATCCCTTAAAATGATATTACTAGCATATCAACATCAAAGTGTATTGGAGCTCTGTAGAAATGTCAGAGAAAATTTAACTTTCAAACTTCACCATAATGTCTCATTTTTCCTTTTTCCTTTTTTTCCCCAGAAGAAGGAAGATTAAGAGACAATCTCTAAAATGGGGCATAATCTACTTCGCTTTCCAATAGGCCACTACATATAATTATATTGTCTAAGGTGCCAAAATAGTGACCTGGTTCTCCATATTTTATCTCTAAAATGAACCTAAGATGACATTCTACATTGTTTATATTTTTATCCATTCTCTTCTTTTATTTTTAATTCAAAGCAATTAAGTGATTAAGTACTATCTATATCATGCAGGAGCTTATTAACATTCATTCTATATGCATAATGAGATGATTCCAAATCTGATAATTTTTATTTGTATTAATATCTAAAAACAATTTTACCTTGGACTGGAGTTTCTACATTTTGAAGAGAAATCTAAAAAGAAAAAAAGAGAAAAAAATTCATGAATCCAAACAACATAGGGAAGAGCAAACACTAATTTTACTGGAGTGGGTGATGTATTTGCTTATAGTACAGGTTTTACGTTCATGGCTCACTTCACCAGGGCAGTTTCTATTGGAACCTTCACTCTTAACTATGTTCTTATCTCTTTGTTGCTGCTCAGGGATGCTAGTGACACCATTATTTAACAAGATGCTTTCAAAAGTTCCAGTTTGTTCACATACCATGTGCAATGTTAAATGTGCATTTTCCCTAAAATACTCAGCTATCTGGGCAGTACTTATCAGGTTAGTATAAATGGAAGTTTAATTCTTACTTCAAGGGAGAATAGGGGACTTTGTCTTAAAAAGTGTTTTTATAATCTTCACATGCAGCAAGAAAATGGGAACAGAAACCTTTGTTTTATTTTTTCATATTTTGTAAAGTAAATAATCTTCCTGGAACAGTTATAATTTCAACAGACTGTAGCCGAATTAATATAGAGTGGATTAGTGCCTGTTCTGGCAGGATTTTGTCTCTTAAGACTTTTTTGTGAACTGTTGCAAAAGAGAAAATGAGCAAGAACATTAATTGTATACCAGGCCCAGATTTCTCTTGAATGAACTTTAAAATTCCCAGAGTCAAAGTGGTTGGGGATTGGACGAATCATTTTTGTAGAAAGATGCCACCAAGTCCTGCAAAAATTACCACTAATGCCAAATTCTTTCATAATTGCCCAGTCACAGTATGGGAGCTTTCGTGGCACTGGCAGGGAAAAGATGCCAAGTGCTATATAAACAGAAACTGATTTGAAAATAACTGTTTTGTATAAAAAACACAGATGAACCAGATAGAAGCACACTGAGACGCACAAAAAAATTACCATATGTGATTTACCTTGGAAAGAGTAAGTAGATTCTCTAAGGGGTAGTGTGTATTCAGGGAGGCTGCCAAGTAGATATGTTAAAAGGCATTCCAAAACAAAACCACAGCACAGTACTCTAAAACGTCAGAAAACCACATGAAAAAGTAATTAGAACTTTTCTCCTGGCATATCTGCCTTTCCTGCTGTGTAACACAGCAGCATTAGGAATGCAACAAGTTGCCATGCAAAACTGATTTGCATTACAGCACTCCAATTTCATGTGAATTATTGCTTGGTTAATTAGAAAATGGCAAATCCTTACTTTGTTTGGTCAGACACCCTGTCTGACTTCCACTTGGGCAATCCCAAAAGAAACTTGTAGCACTTTGTGCTTAGAAGCATTATAGAAACACTCAAAATAGATTGAGTAGTCCACAGATCTAAGAATCAAGTGCCAAAAGGGCACAGTACTGTATTAACGAGGGGATCAAAAGCTCCCATCAACCCCACCCTCAACTACAATGCAAATTAGACATAAAACAAGTTCTCTACCAAATAGAAGGGAGAATTATATTGGAACCATGCCACATATGTTGTTTTAGAGATAGATGTAATGAGACAAATGACTAGATGAAGTTCTGGCCCATCATTTTTCTATTTATGCATTTATGTAATGCATATTTATTTTATTAATTTACACACATTCTCTCTCTCACATTATATCAGTGGGAAAGGCAGAGATTCCAGGAGAAAAGTTCTGTTTTTTCACATGGTTTTCTGATGATTTAGAATATTATGTTGTGGTTTTGTTTGGGAATGCCTACACGCATACGCGCGCGTGCGTGCATGCGTGTGTAGGCACTCCTGAACAAAACCACAACATAATAGGCTAAATTATTATTCAAATGTGTGCAGAGCTATCCCTCTGGGGGGTGCAAATCAGGGTGACTGCCCCAGGCCCCATGCTTTGGGGGGCCCCATGGAGCTGGGTGGAGCAGCCACAGCAATTCTGTGCTGCTGCCACCAGCTTCTCATCCAGCTGCTTGCTACCACCCCCCGCTGCCGACGCTGCTGATGGTGGTGGCAGCTTCTTCGGGTCCAGGGTGCACAGGATTGGGGCAGGGGCGGGGCCCCCCATGGGCTGCTTTGCCCTGGGCCCTGCACCCTGCTCAGGTCAGCTCCAAATATGTGTGCACACATGTGTGTATGTGTGTTTGTGCATTTTGGAAAAACTGAATGTGATCTAATCGCTGTGCAGCAGACCATGCGACTACCTTTATAGTACAGATGCCTCTGAGCAAGATGAAACTCTTTATGAAGAAAACGTAAACTTTTTTAGGAATTGCCCATGTTAATTAACTATCTTAGCACTTGTTTCTCAAAGGAATCAGAAACAAGAAGCCTCAGCAGAGTCTGCTGGTGCAGGAGCAGTTTGGATACTGTTTGAAGTTAGTGTTAATCAGCTCTGCCTCACCAAGGAGGGAGGAGGTGTCAGTCAAGGTCATGGACAGCCTTTAAAGAAAGGCTTCAAGGGACATGCAGCTAGTTCAGCTTACTGTGCCAAAAAGAAAATTATGAGATGTCTTTTTTTTCAAGAACTTGAAACTACAACTTTGGAAAGTCTTCATGAATGTGGATTTTACATTAAGGGCTCCCTCAGTGAAATGTGCAACAGCAATTATTACACACACAATATATATATAAAGATGTGTTAATACCAGAGGGGAAATTTTGGAACAGAATCTGCATTCCTCCCATTTAACATCCAGAAGATGGCATTTAGAAAGGACATCATTTCACTCAAAACAGATGAGCAAGCACCAATATTATCACCATCATCAATCATAAATAGTGCCCAGAGAGTTCAGCTAAGAAAAGGACTCCCGCATCTGTTAGACACTATACATACAAATGAAGAGAGAGATTTCTTGCCCTAAAGAACTTACTGTTTAAAAGGATGAGGCATAAAATACCTTATTATTACTACTGTTAAGTTAAATATGGGGAAGTTGATGGTAACATCACAGAAAATGTCTGTGACAGAGCTTGAAACTGAACTCATGCTGGAAGGATGAGAAAAAAACTGCCATAAGAATATGTGGATTAGGTTCTTTATGATGGAACAAAGGATTGAGCTGGACAGCTTAAAGTTCCAGTAACTTTTGCAATCATGATGACTTGATCTGCAGAGGCAAACCAGTTTTTGGTTCTGTGGTACAAGGGATTGATGTGGAAGAAAAACAGAACCCAAACTTGTGTGAATTTTTCTCACCAACAGAAATGTAAAGCTCATGAAAGATTACCTGCATTCCTGTATTTCCCTGGTTTCTGCCTCATTCCCTCCCCTTTCCCCCCAAACCAATTCACTGATGCATTTTAAGGAGGCAGATTTTCAACTGAAGGTACCCAAGATTATGCTTCAGCTATTGCTCTCTGATACTATCCCATACATCTACTCTGCTGGATTTCAAGTAGGGCAATTCTGATAATTGACTCTGTGACATCTGAAGCTGGAGAGGCCACTTACAGTTTGTTCATAATCAGGGGATCTCCTCATTGCAAGTGGAATTCAGCTTCCAACACAATCCCAATTTGAGGCTCTAGACACTAAAAAAAGGTTGCTGTTTCCTTTCTAGATTCCCTCCTTCCATCCCCTGCAAAGCAGTCATTCCACAATTTCTTCAGCCAGTGTTGTAAATCATTAGTGTTTTTGATCATATTTTTAGTAAAAGCAGGAAGCTGAAGAAGTAGCTTAGCTCCTTAAACCTTGCGAGTCAGTAGTGCTCAAGTTTTTGGTCCTGTGAGCCAGACAAGTGGTGCAAGGCTAGCCTGCAGGATGAATCAAACCCCACACACCACGTCAGGCCCCATGCTACCTCTGCCTGCCCCATGTGCCAGAATTGGGCCCTGGAGCCTAGCCGGCTGCCAAGTGCTGGGACTGGCTCCTGAGGTCTAGTACTGTCCTTGGCCAGCCCTGCACACTAGGATCAGGCCCTATGCCACTCTGCGTGTTTGATCTAGCACACAGGCCCTCAGGCTCTCTAAGGGTTTGGAAATTTGGCAGCAAGGGAGTAGCTGCCTACACTTTCTCACATTAAAGCAAAACAGATACTTGCTACAAAATAATGGCACAAATCCATACCTCTTATGTCATGGCCACAAATTTTGGGCCTCTGTGGCACAAGAAGGGGCATTCCTAGGGTAGGTAGGATTGGGTCCCTGAAGCCCTGGGAATATCTGCTCAAGTTTCCCCATTAACATAGATCCACACCAGGGAAATCCAACTTGGGGCACACCTCTGCAAATAGGGAACCCCAGACTTCCTCAATTGCAGAGGTATACTTGGGGATGCCAAAGTGGGGAAACCCAAAGTTCCCCCATTTGTAGATTCATGACCTGAGTGTTGTTGTATGAGATTGGTCTCCAGCCACTCCCAGGAGAAGCAGCAATCTGACCTTGTGGTACAACAGGCAACTTCTTTTTCAGTCAGTGAAGCAGATCAGCTGTGCTGGGACACATCGTGACGCAGCTGATCCTCTTCATTTGGCAAGATCTGTTTAGATCCTCCGTACTTCCTTGTGAAACTTCTGTAGTTTTTTTAATGTTCTTTTTCTCATGCAAAATACTAATAGAATATTTTTGTGAACATTTTTATTTAAATCAGCATTACACTAGAAACATATTATTTCACTGACCCATTTAGAATAGAAGCTCCCAGGACAGGGAATTTTAATATGTATCCATGAAGAACTAAGCATATTCAGGATGCAATATAAACAATAATTAAACCACAGTGACTGCAAAAAGAATACAAGAGAAGAAACTGAAACATATCAACTCTAATTTGTAATAAAAAATCTGAACTGCCTAAGCTTTTGATGGCACAGTCCAGGAGGAATAAACATTGGTTTGGGAAATAAGATGTTCTGCGTACAAATTCCATTTCTTCCATTCACTCACTTTCTGTCCTTTGGCAGTTCCCTTCATTTCTCAGATACATGTTTAAAAATATGCAGGAAGGACAATTGTTCTATTGGGGTTTGAACATCTGAAGAACATATGATTGGTAAGATGCAGGTAATATGCCACATGCCACTTCCATGGTGCCTAAAATGCTACCAAAGAACTGAGTTAACTTTCTCCAACCATTGCTCTGGGATCAGAGCTTTCACAGGATGGACAACAGCCCCCTCACAATCTTTGTTGGGTTTTTTTGGCTAGCTAAGCATCTCTTTTGTCTGTTTTCTTGCTTTGAGAATTCTTACACATATCATAAGATTTATGGGACAAAACCACTGTTTGGGTATTTGATTATTGAACAAAGGATACTACTCCCAGAAGAAAGAGTCTGAGCAAGCCAACATATAGAGCTCACTCTTTTGGGCTTTTCCATATAAAATCTCAAGTCAATGGAAGTTTTGCCTCAGTGTGGACTGTGAGCCGTTGACAGGAAGAAAGATGAAAACTTATTGCATTCAATTTCTTAAGATACTGAAGTGGGGATCTGATTAAAGTGGAAAAGCATAGGGTTGACTTAGGGTTGCACCAACAAAGTAAGAGCAATTTTCAGATGTGTTGAAGTACCCACCTTTCCCAAATGCTGACTTTAAATGCGTTCTCGGTACTGAGAATTGACAATCCTAAATACTTGTCCCAAGGTGACACAAAGTCTATGGAAAACCTGGGAACAGAAGCTAGCCCCATATGTATTTTATTCATGGGATCTGCATTCTTTTGTTTTTCAGCTACACCTATCATTCCTTTCAGTCTTTCCTTTTTAACATTGGCTTTTCCTATTTCCTACATTTGCCACTGAGAAAATACTTAGCAAGATAGTACCATGGACCATCATATTGAGAAAACAGAGATGAATGACACCCTTTTTTAAAGTTATGATGTTCTAGAGAAAATAAGATCTGCACACTACAGGCCAGGCTCACAAAGGCTTCAATACATCTTTTACCTGCGCTTTCCCAAGAGGCACTGAATGGAGTTTCTCAACTGCATCAGTAATATCCCTGGTTTCCACAGAAGAGAGGGCACTGCAGATTGCCTTGACTTCTTCAATCACTCTATCCACTTTCTGCTGCTGATGCTGAGAAGAAAAATCATATGAACTTAAACAGAAACACTCTGTGATAAACCTACCACTAAGAATTTGAAGTCATTAGGCACATTCCACATATAGTACATGTGCATCCAGTTCTCTCCCCTATACTCCTCCCCCCAAACACACACATGCACCTAGATACCTTTCAGGATAATGTCCTGAAAACAGCAGTGATGAGATCTTATGCATCTATTATGAACTGTATAAGTTTGGGTGAAACATTCCTAAGGAAATTTTTTACCAAATCAGGTATCACTAGTTTTTCAGTTTTTGTCCCATACCTGAAATTTGGACCAGGTTTTTCAAAAGTTTTGATGATAATCCAAGAACCTTTCAAGCAAAAATGACCTAAGATTACAGCAAGTCCAAACAGATACCGTACTCAGATTGAAAAGTATAACAAACTCAGTTTTTAACATTAATTTAACATAGTGGCAATGCCCGCCTCCCAGAATATCAGAAGCATGGGATTGTTTGGATGGGGCGGCGCTTGCCTTTGACCACCAGGTAAGTGCTTCCCAGGCCTTGCTGCCACTCTTCCCCACCAGGGCAGGGGGCTAGACTCCATGATCCTTCGGGGTCCCTTCCAGCCCAAATGTCTATGAAATCTATGATAAGAATAAGCAATACTTTCAAGATTTGATCAGCCACAAAGACAAGGCCTTTTGTGTTCCACAAAATGACACCATCTCCAAGCAAAAGAAACTGAATCACCAACAAGCCAAGGCAGAGTTTCAAAGGAGGAATCGTGATATGAAGAACAGATGGTGGGAAGACAAGGCAAAAGAGATTCAACATCTATGATATGAACAGTTTTTTCAGTGCCACCAAAGCTATCAATGGTCTGACCACTCAGGGATCAACCTTTTTGAGTCCTAAGGGATGGAGCAGACCTGATCAAGGGAAGTGGAGATATCAATGCCTGTTGAAAGGAGCATGTTGAAGAACTTTTCAATCAAGGCCCTGTTGTTGATGAGAGAGTTCACCACACTATCCCACAACACCCAGCCAGAAATGATCTCTGAATCGCTCTAACCCTTGAAGAGGTGAGGAAAACCATCAAGCAGATGAAGAATGACAGGAACCTGGAGTTGATGAAATCCTCACCAAAATCTTCAAGCAGGGGAGGTAGGAGGTCACATCACAGCTCCATGCCCTCATCTTAACAATCTGGAATGATGAGGAAATCCCAGATGATCGCAGGGACACCATGATTGTGACAATCTTCAAGAAAGGAGACAAGTCCGACTGTGGAAATTACGGAGAGATCAGCTTGCTGTCCACCACAAGAAAGATCATTGTGAAAACCCTCCTGTACTGTTTCCTTCTAATTGCTGAAGAGCTCCTCCTGGAATCTCAGTGTGTGTTTCAGGCATTGAGGCACAATTGACATGATCATCTTCACTGCTTGCCAGTTGCAGGAAAAATGCCAAGAACATAAATGCCATTATATGGCCTCCTTTGACCTCAGGAAAGTATCCAACTGTCAACTGAGAAGCGCTGGGGAGGATACTTCTGAAATACAGATGCCCACCAAAATTTATCACCATTCTTTACCAGCTGCATGATGGTATGTGAGCAGCGGTTCTCAGTAACAGATCTCTCACAGATCTGTTTGAGGTTAAGATGGGAGTTAAGTAAAGCTGTGTCATTACTCCAACACTCTTCTTGATATTCCTTACTGCAATCTGACCACCAGCAAGCTTCCTGTCAGTGTGGAACTAAACTACTGAATGGATAGTAAGCTGTTTAACCTGAGCTGACTCTGCACCAAAACTAAGAACACCCTGACTTCAGTCATCAGGCTCCAGTACAATGATGATGCTGTACTGTCTGCTCACTTGGAGGCAGACCTTCAGGTAATCATCAGTGTTGTTACTGAGGCTTACAAGAAAATGTAATTGTTACTTAACATTCAGAAGACTAAGGTCCTTCATCAACAAGCTCTCAGTTACTGGAACTGGGGCCTGTTCATTCAGATTCATGGTGAGACTCTGGAGAACACTGAGTATTACTTGTACCTTGGAAGCCATTTCTTTCAGGAGGCTGACATTTATGAAAAAATCCAACATTGCCTCAAATGTACAAGTGCAGCCTTTGGACACCTGAGGAAATGGGTGCTTGAAGATTGTGACATCAGATCCAAAACCAAGGTCATGGTTTATTAAGCAGTCATGATCCCCACCTTACTGTATGGAGCTGAGATGTAGACAATGCACAAAAGACACCTAAAGTCATTGGAAAAGTATCATCAGTGCTGCCTGCAGAAGATGCTTTGAATAAAGTGGGTAGACAGACACATTAATATCAATATCCTCTCACAAGCAGACATCACAAGCAGCGAAGCGACAATCATCCAACATCAACTTCACTGGTGTGGCCACATCATCTGGATGTCTGACTCCAGACTCCCGAAGCAAGTTTTATTCTCCCAGCTCAGTCAATGCATATACTCAAGAGGAGGGCAGAAAAAGCACTTTAAGGATGTCCTCAAGGCCAATTTGAAAAAATGCAACATCAATATCAACTTGTGGGAGACTATTGCCCAGGACCACCTCAAATGGAGGAAGAGTCTGCTTCAAGGATCTCAGTTCTTTGAAACCTTAACAATGACAGCAGGAGATGGAAAAATGGAAGTGTCATGAACAGTGCGTTGCAGACCAAAGAAAGAAGCTAGAACCGTCCACCCCCTACAGAAACATATGCCCAAGCTGCAGCAGAGTCTGTCAATCCTGGATTGGCCTTGTTACTCATCTTTGGATCCATAGGTACAAATCATGGAAGACAATCATTCTTGACTATAAGGGATTGCCAGTGATAATGATCATGGTGGCTTAACTGAGTTTCATTTTTAAAAAACCCAACAAATGTGGACAAGAAAGCTTCTGAAGGTGACTGAATCCAGATAAACTGGAAATTCTGTGTTAATTTAAGCTGCTGTTTTATGACTGCTTTTGTCTTCTATTCATCTTAATAGGAGATGCTATAAAAGACACGTTCTTCCTTTCTAGAAATAGTAACTTCTTATACTAAGGTGTGTGTGAAAAGACTGCATTGCTTCTGGCACATGGGTAGGAAACTGTGTGGATATTTCATGAACTGCATTTCTGCACAAACATATAGCTCAAATGTATTAAATCTTTGTGAAAAAAGCACAGATTTAAAAAATATTTTAAAAATATTGCATTTTAAATCTTCATGCCTTCCATTGCCTTCAAGGTGTTCCAGATATACATACTGATGAACTGAGGTGCAGAATTTGGGTCCCAAAGGTGAAAGCAGAAACCTGCATAAATGTCATGGACTCAAGCTCAGGGAAAATTAATTCAAATTTTTTCACGTATTCCTTGATTTTGCTTACATACTTGCTCCCTAAAAGTGTGAAATATATTCCTTGAGCAAATATAAACTCTCCTATTAAATATTCTCTGTGTCTCTGTACAGATAACATTCCTTTTATTAAGCTACAGTGTGTCTACATGCTGATAAAGCCATTTCTAAAACTCATCCATTTGTATATCTGAAAGAGAAACACTGCCCCAAGATGAGCTATATTATTTTCAAACTCAAGGTCTATAGCTGAACTGCAGTGAGAAGGTTAGTACCTGTAATTAATATAATAGATGGATATATTTGAATAACATTGCTTCCTTGTTCTAACTCCCCTGAATGGAGTTATGAGTAGGAATGCATTAAGCACAATATCTTGCTATTTGTAGCATAAGAATTTTGAAAAATAAAAATGGAACTTTTTAAATAATTGCCATAGGTATTGAAGGGGGAAGGATATTGGATGCGTTTACTTGTGTGGCCTAGTAAATTGTAGAGCTTTCTCAAGTCTTAAACTGACTCATCACTTTCCATCCTGTTCTTTTAAAATGAATGCGTCTCCCATCCTTCTTATTTTTTTCTGCCCACTCTGACTTTTAGGATTAACGCTTGCAGGTTTTCCTCTTTGCATGTACAGTTTGCACACAACTGCATGCTCAGGAGCGGCTAAAATGGAAGTGCTCTGTCACAACCTTAATTGGGACAGTTTGAAGATTATATGGGTTTATTTATCAAACAGACCTAGAAAACAAGACAGGTTTTTTCTCTCTTGCAGGAGGATACAGATCACTCACTCACCTACCTCTTAAGAGCAGTGTGTTATCATTATAGATACATAAATCATGACTAAGCCAATGGCTGTGCCACCCCTGGACGGGAAAAAAAATCTTGTTTATATTTTCAGAGTACCCTGTGAAGTTCTGTAAATTATGATGGATATTTTTGAGGAGTGTTTGCATTTCTGCATGATATGCTGCATATTTTAGAATAACACTGACAAATTATTTTACAGCTTAAAACAACAACAACATATTAGATATGGGGTGTGCGGAGTAGCTACTAACAAGGAATAGCTCAGACCACCTTAGAGACTAAGCATATGTGAAAATCAGATATGATTGACAATAATTCATTCTCCCCTTTTCACTTTTCAGACGGGTATTTGATGAATATAGGTTTCCCATTCCACATAACCAAAATCACATTGATTTTTGTCTCACTGGACAGAGAAAAAAGGGTACATGCAGACGTTACATTTAAATTGACCTGCCTTGGGTTAGGCCAATCTGAATACCAATCTGTACAGATGCTTGGGGAGGTTAGATCAGGTGAAAAATAGCTGGTCTGATCTAATTTAGGCTGCATAGAGACATTTGGGAACATTAGGGAGAGGTCAGATTGAGTTAAAAATGGCCACCTGATCTAAGCTGGGATGGGGGAGTTAGTAGTGTGGTTGGGGTGGGGAACAGACTCAGGGGGATGGGGCATCTGCATGAGGATCAGGAGGGAAGATGGGGTCCATGGGGGGCAGGCAAGGTCTGTGGGAGGGACTGGGAGGCTAGCAGTATTCACAGGAGGGTTTGACAGGATTGGGGGGGGTGTCCTGTGGAGGAGAAAGTTGGGGGCTCTCTTCCACACCCCTGGGCCCAGGGGAAAAATTTTAGGCCCCAACTTCCAGATGCAACAAACCTGCACAGCAAACAAATCCCTCATCCCACCTGCCCTTTCCCCCACCCTGACTTACTTGTGCAACTCGTGGCACTGGCAAACCCCAGTAAAAGTAGTACAGGGAGCAGCTTTCAGGGTTGGAGGGCAGTGCTAAAAATAGCTTGGTGCCGGGGTGTGGGGGGTGGAGGAAAAGCACAATTCTGGGGCTCGGATAGCAGCTGGGCTTTTCCAGCTGTGAGGCTGCGCTGGGAACTGTATGGAAGTTAGTCATTTTTAGACTGATCTACCCCAATCGAAATTGAGTGTACTTTGCAGATAGGGTTAACTTAGATCTGTCTAAAAATGGCCAGCCCAATCTAACTGTCCTGAGCTTTTGTACAGTTTGTACTTAGATCTATCTAGATCCTCCACGCAGCAAGGTCTGCAAGTTAGATCAGGTGGCCATTTTTAACATGACCTAACCTCCCAAAATGTATCTAGCCCCCATTTACCTGAGGAGGTGAATCAAGTTACATTGGAAATGGGTTAGCCTGATCTAATGAATTTCATCTGTACACATTTGCAATATAACCCCAGGGCTCAGAAAGCCCAGCCACATGCCACAGCTCCAGGGATTCATAGATTATAGAGTCGGAAGGGACCCAATGGATCATTGTATCCAACCCCCTGCCCCTGGCAGAAAAGAGGACCAAGGTCAGACAACCCAAAACAAGTGACTGTCAAGCCTCCTCTTGAAGACCTCCAAGTTAGGTGACAGCACCACCTCTCTTGGAAGCTCATTCCAGACTCTGGCCACCCTTACTGTAAAAAATTTCTTCCTAATGTCTAACTTAAATCTACTCTCCACTAGTTTGCACCCATTATTCCTAGTTATTCCCTGGGATGCTCTGGAAAACAGCGCATCCCCAATTCCCTGCTGTCCTCCCCTGATAAACCTGTAGGCAGCCATAAGGTCACCCCTCAGCCATCTTTTGTATAGGTTGAAGAGATCCAGATCTCTCAACCTCTCCTTGTAGGGTCTTCCCTGGACACCACTAATCCTGTGGGTGGCCCTCCTCTGAATCCTTTCTAGATCTTTCGTGTCCCTCTTGAAGTGCGGTACCCAAAACTGGACACAGTACTCCAACTGTGGCCTGACTAGTGCTGCACAGAGGAGGAGCATCCCTCCCTTGATCTGTTGGTCATGCATCTGCTAATACACAACAAGGTGCGACTGGCTTTGTTGATGGCCTTGTTGCACTTCCGGCTCTTCATCTTGGAGTCAACTAGGACTCCAAGATCTGTCTCAGCCTCTGAGCTGCTGAAGAGGACATCCCCCAACCTATAGGTGTGCTGAGGATTCCTCCTTCCTAGGTAGAGTACCTTACATTTATCTTTGTTGAATTGCATCCTATTATGTTCTGTCCATTGATCTAACCTGTCCAGGTCAGCCTGTAACTGCTCCCTGCCCTCTGGTGTATTAACTCTGCCCCATAATTTGCTAGCATCTGTGAACTTGGAGACGGTGCTCAACACAC